TATGACCAGTGTGGAGAGAGGTACCTGGACTTTGCTGTCAACTGGGTCATGAGTCTGGTCTCAGATTTGTTTTCTATCTGTAGAATGGGCTTGATACTAATATCTCATAGAGCAACTGTATGCATTAAATGTGAAACATGTGTGATACTTGGAGTTCTAGAAAATGTCATATTGTTTAATTTTTGACAACAGTAGAATTCTTCTTAGCACTGATTTGTAATTATTTCCAATTTTTTTTTCCACCATTGTAAACCTTACCTTCACTAATCTACAAGTCCAATCGTCTTCATCACACAGAGCTGCTTATGCTCCCTGTCTATCCCTAGTCCACTGTGGCCCTACTCTACCTGTGTACTTGTTCCACATGCATCCAAAGGTTGGCTTTGATTGGCAACCACAAGATGTCTCCTTGAAGAGCAAGTGCACATCTGGTGAGATATGCATGTCCACTTAGACCTGTCTGTTTCTGCATATCTGTGTCTATTTCTGTCTATTTCTGCATATCCACTGAGACCTTGTGGATCAACATGCTTTGGAAGGCTCCTTTGAAACGTGCATTTCCATGGCCAGATTCACCCACCGTTTACAGGCTCTACCTTGTAACTGATCATGCCTTGCCGTTTTGCTCCTGGTGCTATCCTTAGTCAATGGTGCATGACGGACCCATCTATTGGATATTTTCAGTTTAGATTTTTTAACTCCAAAGTTTTGACTAAAGTTTAATGTGCTTATGGATATCCATGGCATATGTCCTGTGGATTTGAAAAGGTAAAAGTCAATAAACTCAACAGTGGTTGAGGCTAAGCTGGAGGTTCCTCCCTGGGGACTGCCGGGGCTGGAGGACCCTGCGTGTGGCAGGTGCACCTCCAGGACTGGTTGGGAGGCTCCAGCGATCGGAGGAGCAGTTGCTGGCGATGTGGGTGAAATAGGTGGTGGGTCTGTGGCACCCGTCTTCTGCTTGTGCCTGTCCTGTCACTCACCTCCCCCTGCTTCAGAAAACCACCGTACTTTACAACTAGTCACTCACTCATGGCTCTTTTGGTGTCTTCTGCCATCGGCGATCCTTCCAGGCTTTCTGGTGCATTCTCCGCTCTGACTTTGGCATTATTCTTTTTAAAAATCCAGAATGTTCTAAGCTAACTTGGACGGATACTTCCAATTTTCCTCTTTTTATTCCTATTTCATGTGAACATGATAGAAAAGGAGACGTACAAGTGGACCTTTTCATAGCTTTGGTGCTGTGACGTGGCCACTTTGAGTACAGAGAATGGAGAACTATGGCCACACTAGTGGGCTCTACTTCTGGCAGAACAGCAACGGCCGTGCACCCTGAGGAGACTCTGCCATTTGCTACAGAGGCAGCTGCTTTGCTTGAGGGAAGGTAGGAGTCATTTAGCCAGAGAAGGGGAAAAAAAAACAAACAAACCATGACTAGGCTTTGAAATTACTAAATCTAAGTGTATCGAGGAGATCGATTTTAGAGCGTTGGCGGTAGACAGTTGCCTACTAGTTGGGAACTTCCCCGTAGCCTGTGAGATAGACTGTAAGACCTGGTGTTGGAGAAGAACAGAGTATTAGACAGGGGACACTTGTGTATCTCTGTCTATAGGTCAGTGTCTGATCAGCGTCTGTGTCTACACCTGCATTGACACCTGTGGGTCCATGCCCACGTCATGTCTTTCTCTGTCTCTGTCTGTGTTTATGACTACATGGATGTGGAAGGAGGGAGGAAGTCGGAGGTAAGGGACCTAGAACATGAAATGTCACCATTTTAAACATGCAGTCCTGTGGCTTTGGATCTATCACACCACTCTGGGTCTGTCACCTCCATCTCTCTGCAAAAACTCTCTTCACACCAACATGAAGCTGTGTACCCTTCACCCAGTACCTCCCCATCCTCGTCCCCATGCCCCGGGAAGCCTCCGTCCTCCCGTCCAGGTCTTTGAAGCCGACTCCTTTTCACTCACCCTCCGAGCATCCTTGGATCCGCGGCGCGTGTCCTCTGGTGGACAGTGTTCAGTTGGATGTGGTCTTTCGGTCGGGGAAGGTACTGTTTATGGAGGCCACTGTGGCAGCACAGCCTGCACGAGTGCTGGACAGCAGACCTGCCCCTTGCATTGCTGGAGGCCGGAGTCTAACGTGCTGGCAGGGCTGGTCTCCTCTGAGTCTCCCCTGAGTCTCCCCTCCTGACTGCTGGGGCTCTCCCTCTGTGTGTTCATGCCCCAGTGTCCTCTTCCTCTGTTAGGAGACCAGTACTACTGGACGTGGTCCACCCTAATGACAACTTCAGGAGCCTGCCTGTGAGCACGGTCACTTCCTGACATCTTGTCTGTGATGGGGAGTGCAGTCCACAGAGTGAGGGCCTGCTGGGCCCTGGCCCCCACCATCCGCCACGCATGCTGCATGTCCCCAGCTCCCCACTTTCCTCCCTGGCCGAGCGCACTGTGCTTGGCCATTGCTGCAGTGCGATGACACATTGTGATTCTCCTCTTCTCCTTTTCCACATGTCTTAGACACTTTCTTTGCTGTTACCATGGAAACTACCTACAACAACCTAAAATCAGAACGTTTTCAATCAATACCAACTTAACTTTAATGCTATACAAAAGCTTTGTACCTCAGGGCTCTTCCCCGCTACTTCATGCAATTGGTGTCAGAAATTATGGCTTCCTGTATTACATATCTATTGGTAGAGATTTATACTTACTTTATGCACTGTCTTTTAAACAGTAAACGAAATGAAATTAGTATAATGCTTAGACTTACATTTTCCCATGTGTTTTCTTTACTGGAGAAATTTATATTTTCATTTTGTTTTAGTCAGCTATTTCACTGCTGTGACTAAAAGACCTAGCCAGAACAATTGTAGAGGAGGGAAAGTTTATTTAGGGGCTCACGGTTTCAGGGGTGTCAATCCACAGATAGCAGACTCCATTCCTGGGGGCTCCAGGTGAGGCTGAACATCATAGAGGAAGAGTGTGGCAGAGGGAAGCAGCTCACTAATGATCAGGAGGCAGAGACTCCACTCATCAGATACAAATATATACCCCAAGCCACACCCCGATCCCCACTGCCTCCAGCCACACCCTCCTGCCTCCAGCCAGCACTCAGTTAATCCCATCAGGGGATTGATTCACTGATTGGGCTAAGGCTCTCGTAAGACGGTCATTTCTTCTCTGAGCCGTCTTGCCTTGCCTCACACATGAGCTTATGGGGAGCTCCTCACAACCAAACCACAATGCCTGTGGCCTCAAGTGACTGTCTTGTGTCCTTCTGTTTCAACTTGAAGGACTCCAGGGTTCGTGCAGGGAAGGCCTGCTGGTAAGGAACTCCCTCACTACGATTTATCTGCAAATGTATTACATTTAGAAGACATTTTTGAACTAAAAGAGTATTAAATGAAAGGAGCCAAATTTCTGGTGCCTTGATATGTCATGGGAAGAATTACTGGAGGTGTCTTTTGTCTACTGTTTTTATTCCAGATGTAGTGTCTCCTGCACCACAGTTACATTTTTCACGCATTGGACAGATTATAGATCTTCAAAACATGAAAAGTATATCGCACAAATGATCTGTCCTTACAATGACCCTGGAATTTCTCTCTTAAAGTGTCCTCTTATCATCCCTCTATACTTTTGCTGAGTTAAGTGGAACTTAAATAACAACCTTTGAATGCAAGTGATGTTAGGATCTAAGAACTATAAGATAACATAATATAGTCACATAGACCATCGCTTTGAAGGGACAGTTCTGCTGGATGTGGACTTCTCGGTTAACCGTGCTTTTCTTTCATCATCCAAGTATATCATCACGCTGCCATCAGCCTGCCGAGTTTCTGCTGAGAAGTCTGAGGGTCGTATTGGGGAGCCCCAGCTGGTGGTCCATTGTGCTCTCTTTCTGCTTCCAAGATCTTCTCTTGGTCAAGAACCCCGTTCCCAGTATATGGGTCTTTGGAAACTCTCTGGGTTTATCACACTTACATGGAGTTGGTTGAACTCCTTGAATCTGTACATCCTTTCTGGCTACAAATAATAGGATCACCTACTCAGATGGGTTTAAACTGAGGTAAATGCTGAGAGATCGGCTGCATGTTAAGTTGGGGTGGGTCCCTTACAGGTGGATGCTCAGCCTCAAGGAGGATGACATACAGGGTTCTCGAGCTACCTCATCACCTTGCTGCTTCTATCCTTGGACTCCCAACAACAGCACTGAAGTTCAGGTTTCAAAATCCAGGCTCAGTGAGGTCAACAGGGTCTCGGCCAGCACCCATGGGTGTCTTTCAGAGGCAATCTTAAGGATCTACACCCCCATTCCATCCAGTTGAATTGGCTCACAAGCCCTCTGTTAGGCAAATTCTGGACAGAAAGAGGGAATTGCCTTGGTTGGACTGGCAAGCTACATGGGGTAGGATGGGTGTTGACGTGGCAGCCACTGAATCCAGCATGCAAAGGGTCCTTCAGAAGCCATTCGGAGGTAGTCAGGTGCCAGTGAGAGGGCACGCTCGCACTTGGAGAGACTCCGAAACAAACCAGCACACTGGTGCAGCGAGGCCATTGCTCCCCAAGTCCAAGTTCCTCAGCATGGTCAGGTCAAGTTGGGATCTACTAGGAGGCTTTATTTAGAGGCCTTGCGCAGACCTTCTGTGTGGTCACCCTCTGTGTCATGATCCTAGGGATGAGTAAGGCCATGCTCTCCCTGAGTTCCGGTGTCTTTATACCCTGATGTCACTCTTCTGTCTTGCTCCTCAGTGTGACATAAGGGTGATTGTAATGAGCACATGCGTTTTTAATTAAGCTTCAGCTTCTCCAGTGGAGGAAAGTAAAAATCAAAGACATTTTCATTCTTTCATTGGAAAGAAGTCTGGATTATCAGGAAGGAGAACCAAGTCCTGTTTTAATGGTGCTAAGCTGACTTAATTCTTAGATCACGTATTAAATTCGTCCCCTGGGTATTTCCCCAGCGACTGCCCCACACCCTCACGTGGCTTCTCTCTGTTACAGTGAGCCAAGGAGGCGTTGCCCTGGTCTCTGACATGTGTCCAGATCCCGGGATTCCAGAAAACGGCAGGAGAGCCGGCTCTGACTTCAGGTAGGAGATCAAACACTGTGTGAAAGCAAGCTGTCCCCTCACCCACACCCCCGTCATTTTGTTTAACTCTTCTGTCCTTTTAATTTACAGACACAACTGCTTTATTTGCAAATCTCTAAAACATATTGTGGAGATTTCCAGATACACTAGAATTGAAACTTCCCAGTATATGAGCCAACAAATACAATTCTTTAAATGTATGTGATCAGATTTGTATTTAGAGGGATTTTTCTTGTTTTCAGTCTGTTACCATTTGATATTCTAATGCTTTTGATATTCAAAAAGAAGGAAAAATCAAACTATAGACTGGTAATTATGCCATTAAATAAACTTTCAAAGCAATTAGTGTTAGTGGCAGTCAGTAGGATTGATTCAGAAAATGTGGTGAATCCTTTGACCAGGGTTCTGAGGACCTGGAGCCTTTTCTGGTCGCTGCGGGAGGAATGCAGCTGGCACTGTGATCCTGCAACTCCTGCGGAGTCTGGTGTGTGTTTGCCTTAGGTTTGTGTGGTCTTTGGACCAGTTAGTGATTGGAGTAAGCTGAAGAATCCAGGGCCAAGGGGACGAGGAAGAATGAACTGTTGCTCCCACTATTGCTCCATTTTGGAGGAAGAAACAAAAGAGATGGGGCAAGGGATCAGGGCTAGTGACATGAGCAGACCACAGGGGTGGGGTAGGGGACAGTGATGCCATTGGACAGGGAATGGAGCATCGCTCAGGAAACCTGGGTAGCTGCAGTGTGTTTAAAAGCAGCAGGGACTTTCCATTGCCAACAGCACAATGCCAAGACTGGGGGATTATAAAATAGCAAAGAAAAGTTTAATTTTGGTTCTACGATCTGGAGGCCCAGGTCGAGGGGCTGGCCCTGGTGGTGGAGTTCTTGGTAGCAGTGTCTTCAGTGTCACTGATCAGCATAGGTCCTTGGAGGCCAGCCTGACACTGGTCTTACTCAAATGATGTTTTTTTGAAGCTGTTCTGCCTCTGGCCAGGAAGAGGGAAGCCAGGGGTGCACATGTGGGCCTGGGTGCACAGCAGATTCGCCCTGCCACTACCTCAGTCCTTCCCCCATCTCTCTGTTGTTCCCGTGTCTCCTTGATAGTGATCAAGTGACTTAACACTTCAGACTGACTCAAAAATCTGTTAAATGAGCTAAAGGTGTAGACTGTTATTTCCATCATCTCTGGTATAGGGTTTATGTCTTCACACATCTACATCCACACAGCTCGTAGCGTTTTAATTTCTTTTCCTTGCCTGCATGTACTGCCTAGAACCCCTACTCCAAGGTTGACTGGGAATCGTGAGATGTCTACACCTTATTTCTGAGCTTAGTCAAGAGAAATTCTGGTTTTAATCATAAGTATATTATCAGCCCTGGGTTCTTCATAGATGCCTTGTGAGGTCCAGGATATAATCTTCTACTTTTAATTTGTTTGGGGTTTGTATTTTTAAATAGAAATAGATAAGATTTTGGTTTTTCTATATCTACTTGGCTGGTCTTTTGTTTCTCTAGTTTGTTCATATGATAAATAAATGGATGTTCCAATATTAAAACAACCTGCTTTCTGGAATAGAATTGATTTGGTCATGATGAATTATCCTTTTTAAATGCTATTGGATTTCACTTGCCAAAATTTGTTCAGATTCTTTGCATGTACATTTATCATTGATATGGAGTCTTGTAATTATTTTGTCTAGTTTTGCCACCAAAGTAACACTGAACTCATACAATTAATTTGAAAATGTTCTTTCCTCTGGGATATTCTAGAAAAATGTGTGTGTATTTGGTAATTTTTTTCTTAAATGTTGGGAGAATTCATAAGTGAAGCCATCAGGAATTGGAACTTTCTTATGAGTTTAGTTTTTTACTAATTATAAATTCAAAGTATTTTCTACTTAAAGGTCTATTATATTATCTATTTCCTACTTCAAAGAACTTCAATACTTGGTATCTTTCAAGGAATTTTAAAATTTCATTTAAGTTATTAAATTTACTCCAAAAGCTTTCCATAGTATTTTCTGTACCTTTTAAATTGTGAAAGATGCCACAGCTCAAATTCCTGATGTTCATAATTTGTGTTTTTCTTATTCTGCCTGATCCATCTGGCAAGCAAAATGTCAATGCTATTGATCTTCTTAAAACAAAGTTTAGTTTCACTGGTTTTCCCTATTATTTTTCTCCAATTTTATTGATTTCTTCTTCTTGTTATTAAATTTATTTTAATACTTTTTCTGATTATTGTGACTTTTATTCTTTCAAGTTTCTTAAGTGTGAGGCTGAGATCAGTGATTTAAGTCTGTTTTTTTTGTTGTTGTTATTGTTGTTGTTTAAATGAGGGTGTTTAAATACCTTTGTAGCACTAATGCTATAAATTTTATTTTAAGAACTGCTTTGGCTGCACCCCTTCAATTTTGATATTATGTTTCCATTTCATGCAGTTCAAATAGGTTCTGTTTTCTTTTATGCTTCCTTTTTGGTTAGACATGCTATTTAGCTTCCAAATGTCTGATGATTTTTCCAAGCAAATTTGTGGTTAAAGAGCAAACTTTGTATATCTGAAGTCCCTCTAAATGTATTGGTAATTGCTTTATGGCTGAGCATATGCTCTGTCTTGGTGAATATTCATGGAACAAAATGCATACCTTGCTGTTGAGTATGCATTTAATCCACACTGGTTGGCATTGTTGTAAGGCAGCTTTGTGTCACTGTGACCAAAATACCTGATAAGAACAGCTTAGGAAAGGGAACATTTATCTGAGGCTCACAGTTTCTCTCAGTCCAGAGGCAGCTGGGTCCATTGCTCTGGGCCAAGATAAGGCAGCACATCATGCAGATGGGCGGGGAGGAGGAGCACTGGTCCATTCTTGGCAGCCAGAAAACAGAGAAGGGGAAGAAAAGAGGGAGGGAGGGAGGGAGGGGAGGGATTGAGGAGTGAAGGGGCCCAGTGAAGATGTACCCTTCAGGTTACAGTGCCAGTGACCCATTTCCTCCAACCAAGCCCGGATCCACCTGCCTAGTTACCACCCACTCCATGCAGACTTGGGTGATTAGGGTATAGCTCTCAGGATCAAGCACTTTACCTCTGAACATGACTGCACCAACACAGGGACTTGGGGGCACCTATATCTGACACATACAGAGACAGAGACGTATCACAATCTCCTGCTAAGACCATGAATTTGTGGGTGTCTCCTTGCAACTGCCTGAGTTTTTCCTTTTTGCAATTTGAATATGTTAATAGGTAAATGAATTTCAAAATTGCTACGCCTTTTGTTGAATTCATATTTTTGTCATTATAAAATAATGTCAAATTATTCTTGGTAATATTTTTTTATTCTGAAATTGTACTTGTTAATATTACAAAGCATCTCATGAGAAAAATCTTGAGGCATTGAAAAACTGTCAAGCTCAGGGTGGCAGAGATGATTTCAAATATTCTAATTTCTACTAGATGATTTTGATTTTGTGATTGGCTACAAATTTTGTCAGTTGTTTTCTTTGAAGTAAAAGACTCATTCATTCTTTTTTTTTAAGGAAAATGTCTGACAAATCCTCAAATGTTAACAGTGATGGTTTGTCAGTAGTTCTTTCAGATGAAGCGGTGCTCACTGGGAGGACTGACAGGGAATTGGGCTCACACGTCCAACCAGGCCTGTGTCTTTCCTCCAGACCTCCTCAGGGAAAGATGTGCTGTGTAGCCGCGTGTCGAGATGTGCTGTGTAGCCGCGTGTCGAGATGTGCTGTGTAGCTGCGTGTCGAGATGTGCTGTGTTGAGATGAGCTGGAGTCAGCAGCTCCCCACTGCCCAGCTGTGTCTCACGGAGCCTGGCCTTCTCTGCTGGGTGCATCTCTGCTGTTTGGTGGTGCTGTTGCCACTTGTTTCCCACCATTTCTTTGCTCCCTTGGTGAAGATGCAACAGGAAGCAAAGCGCATGTACCATGTCACTATTATTATAATTTTGACTCCCAAGAGCCTCTAAACGTGCCCCTTTCCAGGGACCAATGGGACACACCTTGAAAACAGATGTACTGGGGTGCAAGCTGATTTTACCAGCATAAAGAATGTTATTGGAGTCACAAGGAAAAATCCAGAATATATGAAGGAAAATCCATGTTCAGATGTTTGCTACATTGTAACTTCAAAGGAATGGAGTGACCTGATTACTGGCAGTGCCAGGTGTGTGACAATCATGGCATCAGATGCATAGGCCCTCTATTGATGCACTGCCGGGGCCACCATCTATTCCCATGTGACAGCAGAACCCAGGTGGTCCTCATGTACCCTGGGGAGCACAGCTGTGTGTACAGGTACCCCGTGGCCCTTAGAGCAAAGGACATGTGACTAGATCCAGAATGTAACACGTTCACTGCTGACGTTGATGTTCATAACAGAGGAAGGATTCTGAACTTCTTGAAGTGTTTCTGAGACAGTTTTTAATGAAAGGCAATTCTGTTCTTTCTAATTTCTAAATTCTTGTAATCAGAACTAATGAGGAAGGTATGATTCAAACTAAGGACAGCCACAGTCAAGATGAGTGGATGGATTGCGGTCAGCACTCGAATTCTATGTTTTGTTTGGAAAGAGCTCACTTTATTATGTTGGTAAATAGTCCTCATCTGGTTTTATTATATTGTTTATGGAAATCTTTTTTCCGAAGGCAATCTAAATATTAATCTCAGCATTATCTATAAATTATTTAAAGTAAATGAAGCCTAAAACACAAGGCTTTCTCATTTGAACTCAAGTCAGCTTGAGGACAGTCCCCTCTCCCAAAGACAAAGCGTTTGCTGTAGAGCTGAGTTCAAATAAGATGGATGGAAACACCCAGATGGACCACTTGAAGGAAGGGCTGAGCTGGTGGGAGAGGTCATGAGGGGTCCTGGCCACGGCTGTTCATCTACTCCCTCTGCTAGAGAGCATTGATACCCTCTGTCCAGGCAAATATAATCATCTTGATTTTTATAAATGGATCACTTTTGAAATGCAAAATGTTAACACATCC